AAGTGCGTTTCTTTGAATTCTGGCATGTCCTTCTCAGTCTGTGAACGAAGAGGTTGAGCTTAACACCAAATTTGTTAGAATTCCGTGATCGGATGATGTTTCGGCATCGTCGCCATCCTTAGAGCCCGAACAGCTCAAAGACAGTTTTGAAGCTACCCGTTCGCACACTATTTCAGCCTACAGAGGAGGTTCAAAAAGGTTGTATGTTACTATGATGACGTCATGGAAACTACAAGAACCAACCTTATGGAATGGTCTCCGCGTCGCAATATTCCCTCCACCACTAAAAAGCCATCATCAGCAATATGTTAGGCACGGCTCTAAGGGTTTATGCGAAGATAAGCGAGATTTGGTAGAAACGGGCGGTTCGCATAGCAAAAGAATGGCTTCACAATGTCAGAAGTTCCTACCACAGGCAGAGCAAGCGCTTAACTGTCTTGAAAGGAAGTCTCATTTTGTGTTCCGTTCATATCAGACGAACTGACTAGGGAGGTCGTTCAGGTCGTGGTGAGCTTTTTAAAACGGTTTGTTGCATGATGTAGGGGTCCATGCAAGGACCACACAGATGGGGTTCATTTTTGCTAAACGCTATTGGGAATGTCAAAAAAGGAATAAAAACAAATCGCTCAAAATACGCAAGTTTTATCATCTCATCTGGCTCATACAGTGAGGTACACTGAAGTTTCCTTAGTGGTTTGTACAACCCCTTCCCGCTCGCAGTGGCCATTTAGCGCCATGCTGGCCCCAGATTACCTTGGCGTAAATAACTGTCAGAATCGTGATCAGGGCCATTAATTACCCCTGTATACGAGGTTTCAGCGAGAAAATTTTTTTCGAACTTTCTCTGGTGGTAATGGACCTGACCATTTGGATGGCAGTGGCACGTGAACCATCACAACTCCGTAACTGTAAAGGTCCCTAAAATTAATCGCCAGAAATGTTGCATTTTCGCACTCTCAACTTCAACAAGTCTTCAAAAAACGCCATGTTAGCTTCACTCACTAAGCGAGCATCCTGAATCTTCCTCCTCTTTTACCGTCTAGGCTTTCAACGAAGAACTCTTTACATCCTGCCCGGGAAAAGGGATGTTTTTCACTTCAAAAGTGAAAATGGTGTGCAGTATATAGGTGTCATTTCTTTTTCAGATTTTTTAGTGGTTAATATGCGTCTGTGTACTGGCAAATGAAAATGTCCCCATAAGCATGTCGGATAACGACTTCTGGTAGGGGACTGATAGCCACTAGCTGGAGACATGGTCAGCATCATAACACAAAAAGCTCGGAAAAATTTTTTCGGCGTAACTCTATACGTAGGGGTAGTTGATGGTCCTGATCACGGTTCTGATACTTATTTTTGGCGCGGAGGCCATCTGGGGCCAGTATGGCGCTAAATAGCCCCGCCGCGCAGACTGACAATGATGGTAGTACGAGAAAGCCTTTGCACCAAATTGGCGACACATTGCGCCATATTCAAAAATGAGTGTCGTATTCGTGATCAGGGCATCGGATAACCGCCGTAACCCAAGTTTCAGGGAGAGTTTCTTCAATAGTATTTCGCGAGCGTAATAGTTGAGTGAGGCCCCTTTGTGAACCATTACCGCATAGAATGTGCCCTTAAATGGCGTATATCCGGGTCATACACATTATCGGGCACACAGGAATACAAGAAGGAAGAAATCTGAAAAATGCAAAAATTTGTCTTCAAGAGGAACCGATCCACAAACTCATCGACTGAGAGTCCGTCGCGCTATCCACTATCGGCCACAGCAAGCGGGCAGGGCAGGACCTGGTGAAGAGACATGCGTAGATGACCAAAATACTCCAATGTAGCTCACCACATGCCAAGTAAAGTACTTGGGTTTTAACCTTATTTGCGCTGTTTTTCGTGCCTGCTCAAAGAACACCTCATATTAGCTATTACGAGACTGTGAACGAGATGGTTTCAATCGCCCAGTCTTTTCGAAATGTTTTCGACCTTATTGGCGATCCCGCGTACCGTTCAGCCCAGAAAAGCAACCCCATCTGGTGATCCTTCCATGGACCCCTACAACACACAACAAACTATTTGTAGAGGCTCAGCCACGGAGCGGTGAGCGACCTCCCTGTGATTGCGGTCTTACATTCTGTTGTTGTAGAAAGAGTGGAAGTTTGCAAGATATGATTAGGATTTCCGCCTAAAAAAGCCCGAAAGGATAAATCATTAAAGTCTGCTTTATGACCGCCTTTGTAAAAGCCTTCCTCCATCATATGTCCGTTTGGAAAGCAAGTGGACTACATGGCACCGGGGTAGTGCACTTAATAATATTTATGTCGTCTGTGTGAAGAGGAGGACATTGCGGATACGGGCAGGCCTCTTTGTACTGGAGTGAAAGAACACATAGATGGTTTGAAAGGCGAAAAATACTACTACTGCGTAGAGTACGTTGCCATGAGAACATACGCTTTGAGGTGACGGTCACGATATTGTCACATGAATCCGATACCACGGAGCGGAAAGCTTCAGAGGCCTTCTGAACCATGTCTATTACCCCAAAGGCCTCTAGACTCACAATTTTGTGAGCCTCCAGTGCGGTAATCCCAGGCTTGCAGAGAAGGTCTTGCCTCCCGCAAGGCTATCAGCTAAATGTATATTCAAGGATACTTCGTGATGGCCGATGACACCACCTTCAACTTCTGGAATGAGTTTGATCTATCAATAGCTTTTCAACCAGGCTACAGTAAAAATGGTACTGGTCGTTGGTGGAACTCCGATGTGGGTCAGTTGAAACTTTTTTCACATTTATCTACATCCTACCGAAAACTGGGTCCAAGTGCTAATTTAAAACTGATTCAGGTCTGAAGGCCGCAAAGAATGTAGTAAGTCTATTCGAAGGGAAGTATAAGAACGACATTCGAGCACAGACAGCTTGGAAACGTTTCGGTGAAGGAGTGAGTTTGAATCAGGAAAGTCTAACCTAAAGGCACATTTTGCGCAGCAAATCTTCGCACAAGGGTAGAGGGTTCTACTACAAAGTTGCAAGTACATACGTGACACGCGGGTGAAGAACAAGCAGAAGAAACACTCTTACAACGCTCTTGTTAGTAAGGCTTCCTAGTGGCAATTAGTTTTTAATGTTAGGAAAGCATAAGAAAAAAGGAGTGAGCTGCTTACCAAAGAAGAGGGATTGCTCACAAAAGGTGGGAGAACGGAAAGATAAACCGGGCGAGAGACAACAACATTAGCTAAAGCGTTCGAGCTGCCATAACGCCTACTTCGCCTGAGTCATAATCCTGCAGCACATTTGCTGCACAGTAGTGAGCTACGAAAGGAGCAGATCATCTGTGGCTAGGAACACAACCGCACGAGTCACTATCCGCCAACACTTTTTATGGTGGCTAAACAGAAGATGCTCCCTTAAGAATGTTCCCATTTGTGGTAATTAAGTTTGCCCATCGCTCAACTTTTGCTAATTCAGTTTCAAAAAGCAATGGGATCCGAGTACAACGCTTCTGCTGCACTAACGTTCAACAACGGCTGGACTGTGAGCGATCTGTGAGTGTTAATAATTTTAAGCTTACTCCGTGTTCAAGTACCTCGGAGGATTCGGCTGTTGCCATCGATAAACCCCTTTCTGAGATGCGACTGACGTTCTACTTCTATTAGGTTGGACGGAGAGTCCTGCAACACTTTGATTGAATTGTTCTAGAAAAAGACCAAAAAACATTTCGAATGTTTTCATCCCTGATTAGTGGAGACTGTCCTCTGGGCTT